AGCTTTACCTTACTTATAGAAGGGGGTGGGGGGGGGGGTCGTTTTTTCTAAAAATGGGGATTTTTCTTGATTTTGGGGTATTTTCATATTCTGCATTTTCCGATACCAAATTTGTTGGGGTTCCTACGTGGGGGGCGCTGCCCGCCGCAAAAAACATTTTTTTAATTTTTTTTTCACATGTGTCTGCGCAAAAGATTCTTTGTCCCAGAGGATTATGATTTGTGTCATGAAAAAAAATGTGAATGAACATCAATGAATTCCTAAGAAAACTACCAAGCCCTTTTTTGGAAATTCGATTTAGTTTCCTCAGAAGAAAAAATAATAAATAATATTTTTTAGTCTTTTTTTTCGATTTTCAAAAATTTGTATAAAAAATGTAAGCAACATTTCAATAAAATCGCTTGGTAGTTGTCTGCGCATTTCAAGGTTTCCAAAGATATATGCAAAATTTTAATTGGATAAAAACTCTAGGACAAGGAATCTTTTGAAGCTCGAAAAAAGAAACATCGAAAAAACAAACAAACAAAAAGTTGGATATTTGAATATCACTTTTTATAACTTTTCACTTATGGATCTTTACCATTTCATTACTATAGAAACTACTCTTATTCCTTTTTCAAACGCACTTTGTTAGGTAAAGATATGATCATTAGTCTCTGAGTTATAGAAACAAGCAAACAAATGACTCCCGTGAAAAGGGGCAAATCCAGACCCAAGACAATATGACCATTATATAAAATCGGTTGTTTCGTGTTTTATACCTCTTTTATTGCTGTTTTCTAGTGTATATATTCGTTTACATGTGTATACGCATGTAAATTATTGTAAAGGTACATGGTCATGCACGTGTATATGCGTATATGCGCATATACTTATTAGATCCATAATTATTTATTTCATTTATTTTATTTTTATTCCAGTCTACTCTTCTTCCCCATTGCCTAACCACATGATTCAGCCTCGAAACAAGCGATAAACGTATAGTCACCAGCGGAGTACTTGTTATGGACGGACATAACGAACACTAGTTTCCATACCAGTGTTCGTTACAAATAACCGTTCGGAAAACTTTGATAGATCAAAAATATTTTGAAATACAGATCTCTTATATCAAATCTCGTATATTCATTTATTGTGGATGTTTCTTGTGATGTAACAATAGGTATCAGATACTTTTAGGCCAATTGTACGAGTTTACACGAATAAATTCAATCATAATCTTTCTTTACATTTATTTTTTCTCATAAATGGATTTGTAATGACATGATGATGTTTAATTGATTATTTAGTTTCAAATGAAAGTGCATACATAAAACTATTGCAATCAGAAAAGACTAAAGCGTTGGCGACGCTTGGAAATTTGTCGCGTGGGTCCCTGCGAGATGGCCTTGGACGCGCACTAGCCTCCAGTACGTGTGAATATCTATTCGTTGCGAGTTTATTTTTGGAGAAACAGACTTGTAACTGCCCATGTATTATCACCGAACCCCTAAATTGCATAATTATTTTTTATTTTTCTTGGTCTTTCATATCATAAATCTTTCACTTTGGTATAAAACTGTTATAATAAGACACTTTTATCTTCCTGTGATCCATTTCAATAGGTAATGTCAAAATATAATGCATCTTATTAGCTCCTGTGAAGCTAGAGTGCGGAAGGGTGAAAATCGCTGACACAGCGGCAGTGGGACCTGGGGTTCTGGCGTCTCGCACAGCCCAAATTTTTTGCCGCGGAAGTTCATGTTCACATGTGTGATTCTACTCTCATTTACCAATATAAAACTGAACATAACTCATTTTCGACCACTCCGACCCAAAATCTCCAATTCCCCCCCCCCCCCCACCGCCAGGGATGGTCCCCTTCAGCCTACTTTTGAGGAGCTGTAACTCACAAATCACTGTAGTAATAGCCAAAGAAGCAAACAACTGTTTAGTGGACACAACTTAGAGCAGGCGTGATATGTAATAACCATATCACATATCTATGGCAGCTTCAAGTGGAACTAAAACACTGACCTCGAGTACTTACAATATCAGTGATCCTCCGCTACAAGTATTCTTAGGTGTGAGATGATTAAAAGATGGGAAATGTAATATATCTTACCTCAATCAGCTTACTATCAGACTTCCGTAAAGCAGCTGTGATAACTTCTGCATCAGTGGACAAACTGGCCAAGCGCTTGAACTTTGTCATCGTTTCCATACTAATCCAACCATCATCATTTTTCACCTGTAAAATAAAAATCAATAAAAAACACAAGTATAAAATCAAGTATCATGACATGAAGAGTATAAATAAAGTTCAATCAACCTTTATCAAAATTAATTTAACAACTCACTTCTTCCTGAAGGAATTTGTCTCGAGGAAGGTTGTAGTCACCAAAATAGTATTCAACTTGACGTATAATCTTGGCTTCAATATCCTGAATGTCTTTGCCGGTGGCATTTTCACCATTTGTTGCAACTTCTCCTTCAGTCATTTTTGATGCGTATTCTTATACTGTAAATGAAATGTTAACAGAAATGCAATGAAAATTAGTAAATACTGTCTTTATTGCATACATGTGTAAGCACTGTGTCTACCTTACTCAGTGCATCAACCTAAGCATTTGGTTTCTAGAAGTACAAGCCCTCTTCTACTGTGGGAAGCTGTATTGTAATAATATAAAATCTATCTATATATTTATGTACTGATACCCGTTTACAATGATTACAACAAAACAATCAAACTGGGCCTATTGCATTTTTTTGCAACAACAATGTAATTTTAGCTAAATGTAATTCTAGCTGATATCTGTTTTTAAAAAATTAATTTCTTCTCATTCTATATGGCATAATTAACTACATGAAAGGGAAAAAAGTGAGTGCACTCACATATTGTGCCTGTAATAAGCCATACTATGGCCACATTTCTCTAAGCTGTTCACAATATTTACAGTCCAGTATCAAGTACAACACCAAACACATGACTCATTACAGTCATACTTTACAGTAGTATTAAGGGGGTCATTTGGAGTTAGCCTACGATAATTATACATGAACGAGAAACTACCAAACAAGTGTTTGAGCCCACCTCTGGTTATTTTTTGGAAGCAACAAGGGTATAAACACCAACAGTGAATTGCACACGCAGGTAATTAGTGCCAGGTACACCTGGATGGACTTTAGCTCGTTACATAATATTTGGTAATGACATTAAGCAATGATACGAGTTCAAGAAAGTCCAAAGAACATTTCTATCCCCAAGGAAAAATGTCTTTATTGGACAGAATGGCTGAAAATGAGACATTTTTCATCTATGGTGTTACCTAGGCAAGTTGAGAATAAGAAAGTTGTGGAACACATAATACTTTGGTAAGCATTTATAAGAAGAGATTCTGGGAGAGAACCATTTGAACCTTCACGGAGTAACCATCGGAAAGAAATATTTTGAGTGCAGTGAACTAAGTACCATTAATGGACACTGAACCAGAAGAAAAACCTGGAAATCAAAATGAAATGGCTAATGATTTCCAATCATAAAGAAATCCTAGAGAAAATAGTGATAGTGAACAAGACCCAACTCACAAGCATCCTCAGAAAAACGGAGCCGGCAGGAGTATGGAAGCTTACCCGACTACATCTAATGACACAACAGCAAACAGGCTAGACAATATCAATATAATACTTATTAACTTGGCTGGTTTTAACAACCCTATTACATTAACAGAATCAATAAACAAATCAGAATTCAAAAAATACATTATTGAAAACTCCTTAAGAGTTTTAAGAATGGTGAAAGCTGTAAGATTTGAGGTAAGTGATATAAACAAAAAAAGACCTCTAAACCAAATTCACAACCTGGGTGAATGGGAAATTACTTGTAAACAACCCGCATCCAGTAGAACCATAGGCTGCTCTTACGGGACAATTTACCCAGAAGAGATAAACAACTGCTGGAAATAACTCCAAAATTGTAGAAATAATAATAAGAAAAAAAAAAAAAAAATCCATCAAAGAGAAAGACAATGAAGTGAAATGGACAGAAACAAAGTCACTTAAAATAACATTCAAAGGTCCTTTACCAGAAAAAGTATCAATAGGACACATATATACAGTTAATCAATACACTTTCCCTACTTCTAATTGCTTTAGATGTCTTAGGTATGGCCATGGGATTATGACTTGTAAACGTAAACAACGATGTAGCATGTGCAGCCAATATGATCAGTCATAGATTGCATAAATTGAACTAAAGCCAATTAAAAAAGAAAATACAAATGAAATTCCTCTTATAACACCAGCAAATCACCAAAACACCACAAACATGATAAACAAACAACAAGTTAAGAAAATAACAAATTCACAAACATCAGGTCAAGCCATAACATATGCTCAGACATTATACCAATCACAGAATATAACTTTAGGACAAATAACACCTACAAGAACAAAAAAACAAGCACAAACAACAAACAATACAACACACCATATACACTAGAAACAGCAACACAAACAAATAAAGAGGATTTAAAGAAAAAACAAAATCCAAACAACACATTTGATAATCACATTTTCCAAAATGACTCTGGTACCTTGGTCACTACCAACTCCAATAAGAGTAACAAAAAAACAAAAAGATAAACAAACGAAAAAGATTTCTCATGGATAGAAACAGTAAAAGATGTTGTCAATGTAATAACAAAAGTAATAAGTAATATGAACTTGGAAAAATCAATAATAAAAGTAGTCACAGAAGCCATCAAAGAATCCATGCCAATATTGAAGAGTTTGATTAAATACCTAAATGAATAAAACAGTATTTTGGAATTCAAGATCAGTTAAAAAAAAAAAAATAAACAAATAGAATTAGACTACATAACAGATAAAGAACAACCAGTTGATAAGAATTTGTGAAACATGGTTAAAAGATAATGATAAATTTACATTGCAAGATTATCAAGTAATACAAAAAGATAGATTAGATCAAATAGGAGGGCGTCTAGCCTTTTGCATAAGACATGTTATACAATTTTGGAAAGAAAATTTAAGGGGACCGTCTGCTTTTTTTTTCGATTTTTCGATTTATCTTGCCGATTTTGATGAAACTCACACCCTTTTATTTGGGCCCCTTCCCATTGCCTGTGGTCGATTTTTTTCGAAATCGCCCGAACAGTTTTTGAATTATTGTCAAAAAAACGAAAAATGCGAAATTCGCCATTTTGAAAATGCAGCACCTGGGTCAAAGGATTCAGACTTCAGAAACGGCAAGACATTCAATTTTATTTGATTTTTGCACAGAACTACCTTATATCTACAACTTGATCGAGAGCGTTTTTTCGATTTCGACTTCAATTTTTTTTTGTGAATTTTTGAAGTTGGGTACTTCAAGAAAAAAAAAAAAAGGTAAAAATTTTCTTACATTGACCACTTTTACAAGAAGTACAGGCAAAAACTGCGAAAACGCTCTCGATCACGTTGTAGATATTTTATTTTTCTACAAAATGAGCCATAATATGTTAATTTTGGAAATATGGTGTGCCCGGAATCCTTTGACCCACCCCTAATGGTGGAGTTCCGAGATATCGGCATTTTGCGTTTCTCTATCTTTCCAAGGCTATCTTGATATCAACAAAACAAGGCATAAGATTAGTCTTCCTACACCATAATCCTCTATCATCTACCTGCATTCCGAAGTCTTGCGGACATTGCCAGCACGTAACGGTTTCTCAAAATCTTACGTATAGTGCGGAGTGGTGGCAGTGATATGGGGGTCTATAGGCCTACATTGACCATTTTTAAAAATTTCTCAAAAATCCAAAGAAAATCATACAGCCATTCTGATTTCATGTTTGAATAGAACTATCTTTCTACTATTATATGCAGAAGCCATTTTTGAGAAGTTGACCTTACTTTTTCTTGGTGAATATTTTCCGAAGGTGACTATTTTAACACCCTAATAGGAGATTTTGGAAACATATGTCACTTTTACAAGAACCACGTGAAAATATTGCAAATCCTCATGGCAGTATGTAATAGAACTATTATTCAGCTACAAAATGAGCCATAATACTTAAAAATCGGACCGATTATACGTGTGCTATGCGTAAAAATATGAAGGACCTAAAAAATGCGATCTTATTCCTTTTTATTATGTTTACATTTTACATGACAAATCATGTACAGAATACTTGTATTTGATATAATTATCTATCATATACCTATTATTGATGCTCTAATGAGGTTTTACAACGTATAATATTTGTCGAAAGAATAACTTTTCTCCAGTCGGACGGGTACCAAACACATACTTTTCCCCACGCGACGGGGCCGTCCTGGACCGTGAAAATCGTCTTTTTAAATCTGCGGAATAACTCTACGGGGTCACGTAGCCAAATTTCACTCTCAGACCCCGTGGAAAGTCGAAAAACAATTACATGGCGATGTGAAACTATGTATATAAGGTATATGAGCACATATAGATAATTTTCGTGTACCCCATGACCTTTTGTTTATTTATATTGTTACTACCGTTTGTTTCTTTGTTTGTTTATTGATTGTTTATTTGTTGTTTTTTTGATTATTAGTTTGTGTTTTCTAATATTTCTAAAAGTTATGAACACATTTTAACGAGATTTTAACCAAAAGTGAGTTTTAACCTAACTTAGAGCTTATTGCAGTTTGGTGGTGATGCGGACTATGGTTTGGATCCAGGAATTTTTTTTTCTAACTCGAAAAGTTATGAATAGATTTGAATAAAATTTTAACCTGAGGTTTGTCTTAGCCTAATTAATATTCCATATAATTTTGGTGGTGATCCTGAATATTTGGCAAAACTACCCCCCATGGGTGGGGGGGGGAGGTTTACATTTTCGAAATTTTTTGCTCATAGATCAAAGTAACTATGTATGATGAAAACATAAAGATAAGAAAATACACCATATGAAAAACATATCATGTTTAGTTATTTCTATGGAAAATTTCTTCATTGCCGTTTTTTGGACGCTTGCCGGATTTTTGAAATTATTCCGAAAAAAAGAAGGTTGGTCTCATCTTATGTGAAATTTGATAAGCTTTCAGAAAATAACCTCATATTTTTATTATCTCTAATCATTGCGTCACAATTGCCGATTTTCAAAGGTACCATCAAAAAAATAATATTTCGGTCGACATCAAAAATCGCTGCTACCACCTAAAAAATAACGGTCGAGCCTTGACATTTTCAGGGGAGAAGCGGGGGACTAGAAACTACTTGCAACTGCATTAAAGTCAATTTCGGCAAGAGGGGCGAAAATCGCCGAAAAATCAGCAGAAGGTCCCCTTAAATGACAATTTTAAAGATAGATTAGAGGCAATGGGATTAAAGATTAATTACAAAAATAGATGGTTATTTTTTCTGATATACAATCCTTGCAACAATATAAAAAGAGAAGAACTAGAATCCTATACTACACAAATTGAGATTTTAATGCCCACCATACAAGTTGGAATCCCAACCTAAGAAACAGATCAATAAACAAC